ACCAGAGCACATTTTAGGGACACAGTGTGCCAAAGTGTCTCTCTCTCTCTCTCTCTCTCTCTCTCTCTCTCTCTCTCTCTCTCTCTCTCTCCCCATCCCTCCCTCATTCCCTCCCTCCTTCCATCCCTCACTCTTCCTTCTCTCTCTCTTTGGCTTTTTTTTTTTTTAAGATAAGGTCTTGTGACAAAGCCAGGTTAGCCTCAAACTTCTCATGCTGCCTAGGCTGACCTCCAACTCTTGACTCTTCTATCGGGGTCTCTAAGTCCTGGTGTTAAAGTGTCTGCCACCAGGGCTGGAGAGATGGTTCAATAGTTGAGAGCACTTGCTCCAAGTTCAGTTCCCAGAACCCACATCAGGCAGCTCCCAACCACCTGGAACTAGAGTTCCAATAGGACCCGATGCCCTTTTCTGGCCTCTGCAGGAATTTGCACACACATGCATATACACATACACATAAATTTAAAAAAACCTAGGGGGCAGATTTAGAGAGACGGTTCATTGGTTAAGAGCACTTGCTGCTTTTACAGAGGATCTAGGTTTGGTTCTTAGCACCCACGTGGCCGATCACAACAGTCTACACCTTTACTTTCTGGGTATCTGATGCCCCCTTCTGGCCTTCTTAGGCACCAGGGACTCTGTGTGTGTGTGTGTGTGTGTGTGTGTGTGTGTGTGTGTGTGTATTTGCACACATAAAATAAAAATAAATCTTTAAAAAACGTTTAAGAAATTTCTGCCACCAAAACTGGTTTCAGGCAATTTTCTAAAGAAACAAACTAGAAGTCTGAGGCATTGGGATGCGCTTCAACGCTTCAGCTGCTGGTAAAACTGGGCCAGAAGGGGGGTGGGAGAGGGTGGGAAGACCAACAGGAACAAGGCACAGTGATGTATGTTATGAGAATGTGGAAATGAAGCCCATTATTTTGTAAACTAGCTAAAAAAATATTAAAATCAAAACCAAAACCAAACCCCAGCCATGGCAGGCATTTCAGTTTCATTACTTGGATCCAAAAGAGCCCCGGAGAGCAGTTGGATCTAACCGGCCCTCTCCAAGGCTTAAAAAAAGCTCTCTAGCATTTAACAGGATAAAAAACAACCTTTACAATATGAAGTTCAAGGCAACTGATGAGTAGGGAAGCTACTCCCACTTCTAAACTCAGTGGTGGAGGCCTGGGGGTGAGGCTGTCTATAGACTTCTATTGGCGCGGCCTTAGACATTAACGAGCAAAGGAAACACCTAAGGATTTTGCCATTAAAAAAAAATGCACCAGGCACTGGGCAGTGGTGGCACACACCTTTAATCCCAGCACTTGGGTGGCAGAGGTGGGTGGCTCTATGAGTTCCAGGCCAGCCTGGTCTACAGAGCGAGTTCTAGGACAGCCAGGGCTATACAGAGAAACTCTGTCTCCAAACAAACAAACAAACAAACAAAAACAAACAAACAAACACAATGCAGCCTTTGACCCAGGGAGCCTGGGCAGGGTCCTGGCACTTCATTCCTAACACATTTCCATGAGGTACTCACTGGTTTGAGGACCTCACTCCTCACAGTAGGGCCCATATAATATTTCTCAGATTACAGAAGCAGCAGGTGACATCACTTCAATTCTTTTTATTTTCAAACATTTGCATCTTCCATGTTGATATTATGTAAAGTCTGTGTTGGATCTAGTGACCAAGGGCCAAGGCCACCTGGAGTACCTGGATCTAGCAGATACCAGACTTCTTAGTTCCTGGCAGTTGGGTCGGTGTCACTGGGTATGGGCTGGGAGGGCCACAGTCTCTCCACTGGAAGCATGAGACTTGGTACTGCATGGAGTTTTCAGTGTATACAAGTCAATGAGATCTTTGTTATTTCCAGGGCCTCTGAGCAGATCTGTCTGACACCGAGACCTCATTAAAGTGTCTCCAAAGCTAAGCAGAGGCCATCCCGAGTGCAACACCCTCTCTCATCAATGTCCCTCCAGGCTGCTGTGGGTATCAGGTGTTTGATGATGGGCGGGGAGGGGGGGTACAATAATAAAATGCCTCATTGGGAGAATGGATTATTGTTTACAGGCATTTTAATATAAAAACGACCACCACTGAGTTGGCTTTCACAGGCTTTCTGAGACGCTGTCTCCTAGGAGACATGACATGACATATAAATAAGATGACTCAAGCAAAGCTTGGCTGCTGTCTTCTTTTCCTGTATTGTCCCAGACTCAAGGGCCTTGGTTATAGCAGAGGGTAAGGTTTTCAGAACAAACATCAGAGGATTATGGAAAATCTGGCGGCTCTAACTCTCTGTGTCCACACCCACCCCTGACCAGTTTCCATGGCCTGCTGGGTTCTTTCAAAGTCCATGCCCTCTTAGTCTGCTGCCTGTCCACTTGGCCTGAATGATACTCATCTCTTCATTCTGTATAGCTGAGGGTTAGTAACCACTCATTTCCCTTCCTGGCATACCCAAAGGCCTTTGCCTGACTGTCTGGGCTTCCCTGTTTTGGGTCCAAGCATGGTTTTGCATGGTTCTTATCTCCAGGCTGTACTTCAGACAGTTTTGTCCACTTGCAGTATACAGCCTGGTATTTAGTGACTAGAGGCTCTCAGTTGGTGTTGGATCCTGGGGTGGTGGGAATCTGGGAGCTGCACTCAGGAGGCCCCACCTCCTGAAACTCCTTCCTAGCATATGTCAGAGAGGCATGAGCAGACAGGTAGACTAGACCAGGGTGACACACAGAGCAGCCCTGGCTTCATTTAAATCCTGGCCAAGTCAGAGGCCTCACACCTCTTACAACTGCCCTGGAAATGAACAGACGGACCAGGATGTCGCAACAGAAAAGGATAATACAAATCGGGGGAAATGGCTCAGCAAGTAAAATGTTTGCTGTGCAAGCCGGACCCAGGTTTAGATCCCCCAGAACCCACAGAAAAGCCACTCATGGCACTGCAAACTTCAGGCTTCAACATTCCACATCAACCTGTGGTCCACACACACGCCATGTTGGTGAGTGCACACACACACACACACACACACACACACACACACACACACACACACACAGAAAGAAGACAAGCATATGGGAAGATACAATCAGGCCCCAGAACAGCGTGGTGCTCTCAGGCTGCCTCTTCCTAATTCTGCGAATTCCTCATGTGGTCCCCGGCCTGGCTCTGCTGCTAGAGATGGAGAATGCTCCACCAATGGCAGTGGCTGCTCATCCTAGCCAGAATTCCTGGTCCCACTAGCTCCCTCCCACAGGTACGGTCTAGCAAACTTTCCTTGGGGGAAGCAGGACCAAGAAGGTGGCCCACCAGGAAGGCTACACATTGGGTCGGTGACCAGACACCTTTCAGATGGTGGATCAATCTGTGATGGTTTCTTCTGTGGATGGCCCCTCCTTTTCAGCTCTGGGAAGGAGAGATAGGCTAAGAGAGGAGAAGGCAGGAGAGAATGAGAAGGCAGAGGGAGGAGGAGAGGAAGGGGGAATGTATCCATCTCTTGATCTAGCATCGGAAGAATACAGAAAGGAAGACAACTTGTGGAAATATGACCAGGTCTGGGTCAGAGAGAGACACACATGAGTACAGGAAGAGAAAGATGGGGTGATAGGCTGTGTGGGGGGAGATACTGCCTGACTCAGGGCCTCAAACCTAGGCTGGTAGAGGCAGAGTCCTCAGGGCTCCATGCCAAAACACGAGGCTGGGCCTTACCTGAATCCTTTGTCCAGGGAGATGCACTTGGCCTCATGTTGACAGAGGTTCATCTCAGGCACACAGTAGTCAATCACCTCATCACACAGCTCCCCTGGAGATCATGGGGAAGAGAAATTAGGCATCCAGGAGGATACTGGGGGGTCACCAAGGCCACAAGGTCAGACTTGTCCCACTCTAGGTCATAAGTCATGGACACCAGGATCCCTTCATTCTTCTCTTGGTACATCCTTTTTTTTTTTTTTTTTTTTTTTTTTTTTTTTTTTTTTTTTTTTTTTTTTTTTTTTTTTTTTTTTTTTTTTTTTTTTTTTTTTTTTACCAGACTCCTGGCTCAGTTTCCCTGGAGTGACAGTGAGAAGGTCCCTGGGGTCTCTGGACACTCAGCACTGTCTGGCTGATTTTCTTGACCTTTCTAGAACTGTTACAGCTGAAGCCACAGGCTAGATGCTGACCTTGGACTATGCTTACTCATACTGATTTTTCCCCTATTCACCATCTATTTATTGAGTATCTTCTACATGGCAGGCACTGTACCAGGTGCTGGGAGCACAACAGTGACCTTCCAAGGTATCCTCTTCCATGGCCTAGCGAAAAGAATCTGCAAACAGGCAGGCAGGTGCCACTCAGAGTTGTGAATGCCACCATGACAGTGAACTGTGGACCCACAACCTTGCCCAGGAGGCCAGGGGAAGCTTTCTGGGAAAATGGACCAGACATGTTCTATCTGATGTAGTCAAGAAAGCCAGTTGGATGTTTCAGAGAAGGAAATAAAGGAGCTTGCAGTTCTGATCTCTGGATATACTATCTTTGAAGTTCACAGAACTGCAAAATGCCTTATGTGTGTGTCATAAGTACCCAGGATGGTGAGTGTGGATAGATCTGATAAACCTGCATCATCTGAAAATGTGTGTTAGGAATGCAGTCATAGGGTGAGGAGGCCGGACTGTATCACGGAGCAGCAAATGAGTTTAAAGCCAGGATTTTATTTTTTATTAAAATTTTGTTTTTTATTTTTATATGTATAGGTATTTTGCCTGAATGTTTGTCTGTGACCACATGTATGCCTGGTACCTGTAGAGACCAGTAGAGGGCATCAGATCCCACACAATTGGAGTTAGAGATGGCTGTGAGCCCCCATGTGGGTGTTATGACTTGAACCCAGGTCCTCTGAAAGAGCAGCCAGTGCTTTTAACTGCTGAGCCTAGATTTTATTTTCAAAAAAACAAGTGGAAAGCGATCTAAGAGAGGAAAACTTCTAACCTTGGAAGCTCTTTCAGGAAGGCCAGGGGGTTGGAGTTAGGAGTAAATAGGAGGCTAAGAGGGACAGGAAGTATGAAGGTGGCTGGCCAGTGACTACATGAGACACAGTCTCAGAGACTAGTCTATGCTGTGGTGGGGACAGGCTGACCCCTAACCTGTCCTGATTTGGACCCCAATTGTACCTCTCTATATTTGCCCCGGGAGAGACACTGTGTTCTTGGGAGGCCTCCTCCTCTTCCTAGTCTCCCACAGAGACTCAGGTATAGACAAGTGTGTGGGTAGGATGCAGATGCTTTTTTGAGACAGAGAAGCCATAATGTTCCCCTCTCAGGTGCAAACTGCAATATATGTGCAGGAGCCTGGTCACCCACCGACATCAGGAGGGCTGCATGGGGCAGAGGGAGGGCACACCTCAGCTCCCTGCCTCTACGCCCATCTGCATGCTGGAAATTTTTTTAAAGCTCCGTCTCTGCCAATTTAAGCCTCTTTACCCTCTTCTTAGCTGCAGGCATTGTGATTCTATTTTGGTACCAAGCACAGTCTTTTGGAACAAAGATTTAATGCTGCAGTGGGCTTCCTCTTGTCTTAGGTAGGCAGAAGCCCTGAGCCGTACCATGGACCTAATGTCAGTGTTCTGCATCTAGTTAAGTGCCCAATAACGGCTGCCGGTTGCCAATGGCAATTCTTGCTTATCCCCATGCTCTCAGAACGAGAGGTAGGGTGTAGGGGGGTTCCCCTGCAGATGCTCCCAGCACAGGGGCTTGTCTGCATCCAGGAAGCTTGGAGTTAATAGAGTAGATGGCCTTTCCCATTGGCCTTGGCACAGCTCAGAAGTCCCAAAGTTGTTCTTGGGAATCTTGAGCTGACAGTCAAGTCTCTGAGGGGCAAAGAGAGTTTCTGTATTTCTACCTCTGTGGGCATGCCTCCACCTGTACTTGCCTCCTCCTGCCCCACTTCACAGAAGAGCCGGGCTCCATGGACTAGGGCCTGGGAGCCCCCCAATAGCACCATTGTTTTCTCCTTGTCTTAGGTTTGGATTTCCAAATGACATTACTTATAACACAGTATGTCTACGTCTGTAATGGTGTTTCGTGGGTCACAATGGGGCAAGAAGACATCTTGGAGATCAAATACACCGCAGAGGGACACAAACAGCATCCCTTAACACAGGAATGGTCACAACTCCACCATGTTAGTTTGGAGTCACAGCTCCGAGAAGATGGCTATTATTATATGCAGTGTCTTCCAGGTTTTTATAATTATTACTGTTTTCTGAAACCACGGAGTTAAACTCTATGGGTCCATGTTTTCAAAGGATTCACGGAAGTGCAGTCTGGGATACACCACTTCAGGCTGATATCACCACACAGTAGGCTGCTTGCCTCAGTTGGTGACATTTTGCTTCCCAAGCAAAAGGAGTATTTAAATATCCTCATGAGGATTTGTGGATGTAGGAAACAGAGGTGTTGGGCTTTGGTGGTGGGTGTGTGGGAAGACATTCCAGGAGAGTTCTTCCCAAGGGAGCCTTCTGTATATCCACCAGCCGGTAAGTTCTCCACTGGGGTCTCACAATCCCGCCACCCCTGACCTTTCCTCCCACTGAAGCTCATGTTTCTCAGGCCGACCTTAAGCCTCTTAGGAGAAGAAATGGGGTCTTGCTCGGTTTTGCATTCCCAGCTCCTAGAAGAGTGCGTGGAAGATAGATTTCCAGAACTAAACAAAGCCCTTACTGGTGAAAGCACCTCTCTGCCCAGCCTCAAACACGTGGGGTTCCCAAGGGAAGGGGTGGCCATAAGCACTGCAGGGCAGGTGGAAGAGCCTCATGAGTGTGTCCCAAAGTGGGGAGGAGCTCGGGGTTTGCTTGGGACGGTGTAGATGGGGGAGAGGGAAAAACAAAAGAGAGGGTCCTGGGAAGGCTCTCTGGGTCTTGGTGTCTCAGTCTCAGTACAGAGAGAGAGGAGGTGGGATCCCTCCTCCTTCCAGGCTACCACTAAGAAAATTCTACCCTCTTAGTGACATCCTCAACCCCACTCCACTCCACAAACCCACCGGCATGAGCACGTCCCTCTGCATCCTCATGCGTGTAGTTAGGCGGACACACGCATGCGCAGTTGTTGATCCCACGTCCCTCTGTATCCTTACCTGTGTAGTTAGGCGGACACACGCATGAGTAGTTGTTGATCCCGTCCACACAGGTGGCATTGTTTTCACAGTCGTTGTCCTCACAGTCGTCGGGGTTGATCTCACACCGTTGTCCCTCAAAGCCCAGTGGGCAGGAGCAGCTTTAGGAATGAATGTATAGAAAGGAGGGGATTCCAGGGCCAGGGAACAGGACAGGTTTTAGAGGAAGGCAGGCAGGTGAGGGGGCAGAAAACACAATCATCAGGTCTCTCTCGAGGCTGGAGGTTTAAGACAGCAAAGTGGACACTGAGGTCTTGGGGACCCGAATAGGAAGACACTTAGGAACCTACAAGGTCTTTTTGTCTAGCTACTCATTTCCAGGCAATGTGCGGGCCCCCTACACCTTGCTTTACAGCAGCAAGGCCTCTACCGCCCCCCAACACAGCTGGAAGTGGTTTACTGGAGATGGCTTAAATCTCTGCAGCTGTATCTGAATTCCCCTTTCCTTCGGCTCTTCTGTGGAGCAGACAGAGAGGGGCACAAAAGCACTCCCCATAATGTTTCGACTTTCTATGTTGAGGGGTAAATCGGGCAACATGGTCAAGGTCACAGCTCTGCGACTAGGTCTCTAGGAAAAGCATTCCGTCCTGGCGCTTTCTAGATGTCTGACCTTGTGTACTCGTAAGATTTAATGATGTTATCTATGCCACCGAACAAGGGGAGCGCCACACAACAACGGAGAAATCACTCAGTACACTTAGTTCTAGACAGAAACCACTGTAACCATTTCCCCGATTGATATTTCTGCATGTCCCGCCACCCCAGCCTCCGGGGAGACGGAGTGGGAGGACTCCTCTCTCGCCAAGACAGAGGACCCTCTGTGGGCTTATCTCAAAGGACATCAATCAACAGGCACACTTCTTTCATTTGCCTCTGCCGTGGTACATGTGTTTGAGATGACTTCCCCACCGCATCCCGCCAAACCCTGCTCACAGGAGTGGGCGTGAGAGGTAAAAGGACAACAGATAACGCCTGGGCAGTGGTGGAGAAGCCGGGGTGAGGAGGTGCTGAGGGGTGGGAGGGAGCTAGTGTCTGATGTCGTGCTTCTGTGAAGTTCCCTCTTTCAGGGCCCGAGTTCTGGTCAAGGAGTTCTGGCCATCCATGAAAGTGGCGCCTTAGACCTGAAGTCCAGGCCTCTACTTCAAGACTGCTCTGATTTTAGATATAGATTAAAAAGTAAACTAAACTAAGAGAAAGCAAACTTCATGGCCCCAGAATCCTACTTTACTTATTTCCTTACAACCTGAAAACCATATCACATTTCCTACAAAAGTCCAAGGATGTTTGAGGATTGAGCTCATGAACAGCAGAGCAAAACGATCCTCAGTCTCCTTTTCTGTTTCAGACCCAGGGCATCATGAAAACGGCCAATTTTTTACAGTCACATGGGGGCTGGTACTCAGCGATCATAAACAAGGGTGGCAACTGTTAGTTCTCCCCTCCCCCCAAACAATTCCTTGGACTTTCCTGGGGTCTTGGGATTGCCCGGCAAGGACAACAGACATGATGCCGGTTAACAGAGTAGGTGTTGCTAATGGCTGGAGAGGATGAGAGGATGTCTAAGTCCTTGTCAGGCACCTTGAACGGGTTCTCAAAGACGGAGCTGTTTAAATGGTGGGTTGTGACCCCCATATGGGATCCTGTAACTGAATGTAGGGCTTGTGAAAATTCTGGCAACAGTAAACGGTTTCTGAACGAACACGGTCCAAAATTTAATTAAAAATCAAATGCATAATGAATCCCAGGTGTTTTGGGCCGCGCTTGCCGGTGCCACGTCACATGACCTCTCTGCAGCTTTGCGTCTGAGCACACACACGTGCACTGTGCACCGTGCACGCTGCCACACCACGGGGCCCGGAACACCTCTGCACAGACCGGAGACTTTTGTACGCTATGAATTGCAGTGTTTTTACTGTACACATGCAGTTTTCTGCTGTTATGGAAACAAAATGGTCTGAACGCAGAAAATGTGAACATGAATAAAGTTCTAAAACTAAAATAGTAAGGATTTTTTCCCCCATTTTTTTCCTACCACCGCTCTTCATCAATGTGGCATATCTTCAGATCGTACTGTATTTGAATGCTTCATTTTAAAAATTGCCGTTTGGCACTTTGGTTGTAGGACATAGGGAAATCAAGCTAGAAGTGACTGAGAGGCTTTCTCCCTATTGACTATTTTGCATAATTCAAGAAAGTTCTATTCAGGATGCCGAGGGAGGAAAGTATCCTTCATGGGCTTACCCAGTGGTGGACCCTGCAGGCTACAATACTGACCTTCTAGGCAAGATGTAACACAGGTGCACTAGTGATATGACTCTTACGGGTGTAACCAATCCCTGATTGGATCTGAGGCCTGCTCTGTGGGAGGGATACCTGTCTAACACTATTACTGGTTCAAACCCCATGGTTCCGAAGGTCATAGGCTCAAGGTGGGAAGCTGCTGCTGCTGCTGTTGTTTTCCTAGGTGGGCATGTTTTCAAATGCCTCTAAATATTTCTGTTTATACCCACAGATTAGAGCTACCATCAAACGTGGGTGGTCAAAGTGCAGAGGGTAAGTGAGAGTTAAGTGTTCTGCCCCAAATGGGACATTTGCATCAACTGTCCCTAAGGCTCATCAGAGGACATCAAGGAAGGGGAGGTGGAAAGAATATAAGATATGGAGGATGGTGAGGGGTTCTGTGAAAGACTGTCTTGCTGGAATAACATGGCTGATGCACTCATGAGCTTCCAGCAGCCGTGACTACCTAACCAGGACCTGCACAAGATCAGGCCAGCCATCATTCCAGCATGGGTGGGAGGGGACACATTCCTACTTGAGGAGCTACAGACACCTGATGGCGCTGGGGAAGGGTCATTGTCTTCTGTGGTACAGCTGTCGGTAGGCTGCCCATGCTCTGGTGGATGGCTCAACACCTATGCACATGCAGGTGGTACTAACAGGGCCCCGTGGGTTATTAAAAAAAAAAAAAGGACTTGAAGGTAGAAGGAAGATGTATTAGTAGAGATCTGGGCAGAGTGGGAGGGGGCTATTTGGGTTGGATATGATCAAGATACACTGTACACATGTTTGAAATAGTCAAGGAATAAAAAATACTCTAAAAATGCTACTGGAGCTGCTGACGGGTATCATAAAAAGTTGTTAAATGGATTTTGGCTTGGGTTGAGTATGGAATTTCCAACAATTTCTGAAATAGTCCTAAATACACTTCTGCCATCTTGTACCAGGTCTTTATGCAAGGTGCTGTTCTAAGAGTTAGTGATTTTGCCGGGCGGTGGTGGCGCACGCCTTTAATCCCAGCACTCGGGAGGCAGAGCCAGGCGGATCGCTGTGAGTTCGAGGCCAGCCTGGGCTACCAAGTGAGCTCCAGGAAAGGCGCAAAACTACGCAGAGAAACCCTGTCTCGAAAAACCAAAAAAAAAAAAAGAGTTAGTGATTTTAAAATAAAAATATCTATCAATTCTAGACAAAGTTGAAGGTGCTTTATGTCCTACATTATCAAATATTTAGCCAACATTTAATTAATCTTATTAGTATACAAATTTGTCTTTGTCTTTAATAGCAAATATATATTAATAATATATAAACAATACAATTATTAATAATATATAGCATATACACACATCCCTAGGAATTGTTTAAAATAAATTTATGATTTTTTTATACCCTGGGTATAAAAGTATATGATTTTTCATATACTTTAAGTTAAAAAATATTTTATGTGTTTGGCTATTTTACCTGTATGTATGTTTGCACACCACGTGCATGCAGTACCCACGGACACCTGAAGAGGACATGAGATCACTGGAACTGGAGTTACAGACTGCTGTGAGCTACCGTAAGAGTGCTAGGAGTCAAACCTGGGCCCTCGGGAAGAGTAGCCAGTGTGCAAAGCCACTGAGTCGTCTCTGTAGTCCTGACTTGCTCACGTACTTCTAAAGCTAGGGTTGAATAAAAATATGCAGGGCAAAAGGGGTCACGAGTGGAATAATTTGAGAAGCCCTGGCCAGGGCAACTCCAGGACTGTTAGCTAGCAGTGAGGCCTTGGTTCAGATTTTGAGGGCTCACCTTCCTTTTGGTTCTCCTGTATGGTTAGCACTGTGGCCCTTTGTCTGTCTGTCTGTCTGTCTAATTTATTTACTGGCTTGTTTTATAATTTTTGCAGAACTGCTCTGCAGCCGAGCTACACCTCCAGCCCGGCTTTTGCTCCTTTGGTGAGCAGGCAATGCACATGGCACAGTGGCACCTGAGCGGGGAGGACAGGCGATGATTCTGGGATTCTGCCACGTTAGAGGTGTTGGACGTTGAACGGTGGTCCTCTAAAAATGGTAAGACGAAGCAGCAACCCTCTGGACCTTGGGTGTGACCTTATTTGGAAATGGTGCTGATGCAGCTATGATGGTGAGTTGAAGTTATAGGAGGGCAGATCCCTAAACCAATATGGCATCCTCGTAAGAGGGCAGCTATGGGGAGACAGGCATAGCCCTGATGCCCTGTGATGGAGAATGATGCAGCTATAAGCCAAGGAATGCCCAAGATTTCCAGTAAAGCAGAATCCAGGACTGGATGGGTGATGTCCCCTCCCACTGCTTTTAGGAAGAGCTGCATCCTGCACACACTTAGGTGTTGGGTGTCAGTCCTCCAGAACTGTAGAAAATGTTTCCATTGTTTTAAGCCTGGGCAGCTGGGAAATCCTAGGAACTGACTCCAGGATTGAAGAGGGCTGTGGAGCTATTCTTCATAAACCCTCTACTGTGTCTCTGCCTGACTGCCTGCTCAGCGCAATACTGCAGCAGAAGGTGGCTCCAGCCCACACGGACGTGTCATCCCCTACATCTGCCTCTGCCCAAACCTTCCGCCCCATTTCCCTAGTCCTGCAGACCTGGGCATTATGTCTTTCACAGTTAACTTCCCAGTTCCCATGAAAATCGTCTGAGACCCAGGGTGAAGTGGGACCTTGATGAACAATCACCCCCAGGGAATCTCTGCCCCCACCTGGACCCTGTCTCAGGCCTGAGTAGGGCAGCACCCACTTTCAGCCCTAGAAGTACACCTCCTGGCTGGGGCCACCATGGTCACCTCCTCTTCTTTTTTTGGTGAACAGGAAGTGGGTGGCTTGGCTGACTCCAGGCAGGAGCAGGAATAGTGCCTGAGTTCCATTTTTCAGGACTCATGGTTGGGTGGGGCTGGCCTGGCAGAAGGATGCATGGGCCAGCTGGGCTCTCTGGAGATTGCTTCCCCAGACCACACGGCAGCCTCGGCTGGAGGGCGTTTGATAGTTAATTACGTACAGTCTGAGCTCTGACACTGCCCAGAGCCTGCCTGGCACCAGGGTCTCATCTTTCTGGTGAAGGAGCTGCTGCCCAAGCCGCTGTGCTGTGGGAGCCCCTTCCCAGTGATCTGCTTCTGCTGGGGGACACTGCACACCTGGAAGCTGGTGGGAGACAGATGGGCCAGTGGCACCCCTGCACCCTTCCACCCCTAGGAGCTTCCGCCTAGTAAGAAAGGACTAGAAGCATGGTTAGAAGAGCCAGGAACCAGAGTCAGGACATGTGACCATTAGTGCCTCAGGTTCCTCTCTGCTCAATGGAGATCGAACTCCCCCGTGCCCCAACAGAGGTGTGAGAAGGTTTAGGAGAGATAACGTAAGAGTAGATGCCACCTGGTACACAGGATGTGACAGCAGTAGCCCCTGCTATTTGTGACACAGCAACGGGGTGGTGGGACTACCAGGTGGGTGGGTTTCTTGGCCAGTGTCCCTTCCTCTGACTTGAGCAGCATCCACAGCCTCCCTTGGAGACCTCCAGGCTCACAGAGTGGAGGCTGGCACTTAGACTCAAATCCCTATATTTGTGTACATAATATTTGATGCTATTTTGTATCTCTGAGAAGGTCCATCCTTTGATGCCTCAGTTTCCTCCTGTATAGAGCAGGGATAAATGCTTCCCCCACTGACATCATCCCTGCACAGGAGGAGTCTGACCCAGAAGCTCTCTGAGAAGAGGGAAGGCCAGGGCTGAGCTCTTACCTGAACCCATCTTTGTGGCTCTCACTCAGGTGGCAGGTACCTCCGTGCCGACAGGGGTTCTGGACACAGGTGTTGATGGGCACGGTGCAGTCCTTGCCCTGAGAAACAGATAGGGGAAAAGCATCTGGTGAGGGAGGCCTTTAATGGCTGCTATGACCTGGGAGACCCCAGGGACTTCCCAACGGCCTCTGGGATGAAGCTGAGGTGGAAGTGAGGAGGTCGGCACAAGACAAAGGGAGTCATCATCGCCTCTGGTCACTGCTCAGGAGAAGGGGCAGGAGTGTCGGAAGTGCAGAGTTCAGGCTCTCGGAAGTGCAGAGTTCAGGCTCCAGCATGACTGATTTCCGGAGTTCACAGGTGTCTCTGTCCTAAACTGTGGGGGATGAGTACGGGTTGGGGGGCCTGGGGAGGTTGGTTTCCAGCTCTACCTCTTCCTGGCTGATGGTGGACACAAGCCCTTTCACCTCGGACAGGGTCGCTAGGAGAATCACATGGGAGTTTTCACAGAAGGAAGCATGGTGCATTATGTAACATCCTTGGCACACAGTAGGCAGTCTGGAAAAGCTGACAGATGGTATTGCTATTTGTTTCACTGAGCTTTAAATATAACCCACAACCTGAGTAGGGGGAACTAAGGTATAGCCTGTAGACTCGTGGTCTGTAAAGTGGCATCCCACCCCAGTTCCTCCTTGATTGGTTGGTCTGCAGTGGAGTCCCTTAGAGCCTGCAGGGTATCTGTCCAGGCCATTCTGACTTTTAGAGTCTCCATTGAGAAGCTGGGTGTGATTCTAATAGGTCTGTCTTTATATGTTACTTGTCCTTTTTTCCTTTCAACTGTTAATATTCTTTCTCTGTTCGGTATGTTTAGTGTTTTGATTATTATGTGGCAAGGGGTCTTTCTTTTCTGGTCCAATCTCTTTGGTGTTCTTGTTCTTTTATAGGCATGTCCTTCTTTAGGATAGGGAAGTTGTCTTTTATGATTTTTGTTGACAATATTTTCTTTGAGCTGGCATTCTTCTTCTCTTCCTATTACAAATGCCTGCATTTGCTCCCCAGTCCAAGGCCACGCCAGGCTGAGAACTGTAATGGTTTGGAGTGAGGCAGAGTTCCTTTGGACCAGGTTCCTCTCCAGGGTAGGTATGACTTGAGAAGGTGCCAGTGTGTGGCAGGTGGGGATGATCATGCCAGGTAGAAGGAAAAATGAGGACAAAGGCTCTGAGTAGGTGACCCCCAAGGTACAGACTGTAGGCCCAGACCTAACATCCCAGGGATCCTCTTGGCCCATGGCTCCTGCTTCTCTCTTGGGACTAGGATCCTATACTTGGGACATGGATCCTGTACTTTCTTGGGACACACAAGCTGCATGTGGCAGCACCTAGTAGCTCCAGGCCTGGGGAGGTGTCTGCTGCATATATTTTTTGAGCCATGGGTTCAGTGACTTGGGTGCTTGCCAGGCCAGGGTGATCATGGGAGCCTTCCCACCGCCACCACCACCTGCTCACCATCTGCCCGAGATGAGCCTGCCCCGTCTTCTGTGGCTGCCAGTGCCTGTGATGGCATGGGACTGGGGCTTCCTGGCTGAGTGGTTACTGCCAACTGAGCTTGAGGCATTGGGCCAGGCTAGCCTCCACCGTGGGCCCAGATGCATCCTCCTACTCGCCTGCATGCTAGAGCCCCAGGCCCCTCTCCAGTAGCTGGAAGGCATTGTCCCTGCCTGTCTGGTTCTTTACGTGAGTCTGTGCCCCACCCAGAGGTTTCTCAGAGGGGAGAGTGAGAGGGAAAGTGTGCTTTAAGGAGCTATCTGGCTGTACCCTGAAGCCACAGTGACTCAGGGCCCCCATCTGAAAGTCAATGTCTGGAATGGAAAGTGTAATATGAATTCTCACTCACGTTATTGAGCACGTTTTCCATTCCAGGTCTCGTGCTAAGTGTTTTATATTCACGATCACATATAATGTTCCCAAGAACCCTATGAGATTGGTACAATTGTCATTACACTCCCTTTTACAGAGAGGGAAGGCAGACTTGGAAAAGAAGGTAATAGGTCTGAGACGACACAGCAGTCAGGGAAACAGGCGGCCAACAGATGAACCCAGACAGCTGAGTCCGAATTCGGCACCAGGCACCTCTATGCTGGGCCATTTATTCCGTTCCTCTAAAAACCTGGGCTCTGGAGTGCTGTGTATCAGAGCCAAGTCTGGGCTGGCTGCTAGATGCCTGAAGGAAATGATTAGTTCTCTTGGATCTTGTTTTTATGTTCCATGAAATGGGAGTGAGGTAGAGTATGTATGCCTAATCTAGAAATTCAAAGTATACCAAACCATCAAACGTTTGAGTGCTGACAGGTCATAAGAAGTGGAAAATTCTACCTTTGACCCCAGGAGATGCATCCTGGTCAAAATGCAGGTATAATAAAAACGTCTACAATTATAGGCTACATGTATATATGAAACAGGCTAATTTCATTATTAGCGTTGGATTCTATCTTCCAGATACCTTAGTGTGTGTGTGTGTGTGTGTGTGTGTGCGCGCGCGCGCGCGCGCGCGCGCGCGCACGCATGCACACGTGCACATGGTGTGTACCGCAGTGCATGCGAGGTCAGTGGATAATTTGTGGAGTTGGTAGCTGGTTCCTTCCTTCCACTTTACATGGATACCCATGTTTCCACTTTATCTGGATGCCCAACTCATGACACTAGGCTTGTGTGGTGAGTGCCTTTATCCGCTGAGCTAATGCAGTGGCCTATCTCTTACTGAGACCCGAGTTTTGATGACTTGTCTAGGCTGGCTGGTCAGCGAGCTCCATGACCATGCCTGTCTCCGACTCCCAGTTCTGAGGTGACACGTAGGCATCATAATGTCTAGCTTTTTACATGGGTTCTGGGACACAGACTCAGGTCCCCAGTGCCAAGGTATCTTAGTGTGCATATGCAAGTATTATAAAATCCGGAAACACCTGCAATCTGAGATGCTTCTGGTCTCAAGCATTTCAGAGAGGGCTCTCAACCTGTAGGTTTCACAGGGGTCACTTAAGACCATTGGAAATACCAGATATTTACATTAAGATTCCTAACAGTAGCAACATTATAGTTATGATGTAACAATGAAACATAATCTTATGGTTGGGGTTCATAAAGGGTCCCAGCATTAGGAAGGTTGAGAAGCACTGATTTAAGGGATGCTCAGTTTCTACCTGCACTGCCATTGCAGGATCACATTACCTGCAAGGTACCGCATAGGTGACGCAGCCCTGTAAATAACAGCAGTGACGACCATGACTAGGCCTGGGACAGGGCTGAGTATGCTCCAAAGTTCAGGGATACATGCATGGGTGGTAGTGGTACTAAAGAGATAAGTATGAAGGGCAGGATAAGGGAACCTCAAAAATGATCTAGCGGGGACCCCCCAATCCCAACCCTGTCTGTAATCTGGCCCATCTACTCTGGTGATCTCATAAGTACCACCCGGCCTGAAGGGTGGTGAGGTAAGCAAGTACCACTTGGCCCAGGCAGAATCCTCCCTGACTCCAAAAGATGGTGTGGTGTGCAGGATCTCTTTTAGACCTCTAGGCAGAGCACAGAAATCTAAGAGGCATGTCCTGGTGCTTGAAAACACAGTAATTGGGGCTGGAGATGGAGATTTCTGTCACTTACATGTCCTTGAGAAATAATCACCATTTCCAATGTCTGCCTAATTAGCCCAATTCAATTCTCTCTCACTGCATTTTGCTCAAATCGATGGCACTTGGGATGTTCCTCGATCTTCTTCCTTCTGTCCTCCAGCCCACCTCATCTCCCCTCTCTGACAGGATCTAGGCTACTGGCTTTCTCTAAGAGCCTAGGAGCAGTTCCCTCGTCAGAATCTATGGGTCAGAGGGGGCTGGGGAATCGCTAAGACACCTTGCTACTCAAAGTCCGGTCCTTGGACTAGTAGCCTGGGCAGCTCTTGGGAGCTTGTTAAATATACACCATATCAGGTCTGACCCAAGCTCTCATGAATCAGAACCTAGATTTTAATAAGCTTCTTGGGCACCCGAAGGCTTGGGAAGTACTGCTCTGAGCCACCGAACATATGGCATGAAGTGGTGGAAAAATAATCAGATGTATTTGATTTCCCTGAATCCTGGAATAGTGGTAAGATTGTTAGGTCATACAGAATGTAGGTAGGCGAAGCACACATGTGATGTATTTTTAACCTTGTTACAACTCTGCTGGAGAGCAGGATGGTTCCCCCTCTCAGGTGGGAGGGCAAGGTGGACGGAGAGCCAGTTCCTAGGGAAGACTAGGCTGGTTTCGGCATCTGTGCTTTGTAGGCAGTGGAGCATGGGTGAGCACTTTGTATTTGCAAATCTTAGCTCATCTCTCAAATGAGGCTAAGAGCTGCTATCTCTGGATGATTAAGCGTGCTGTGTGAGCTAATGCACCCCAACTGCTTCATTAAGGCCTGGCCTTACAGAAGACCAAGAGCAATGGCTATGCATCCTTAGAAAACTCGGTTTTCCCAAGGCAGTATTACAACATGTGTGAAACCCACATGAAAGCAGCAGGGTGCCCAGGCTACTGACGGCCAGTCTCACACTACAGTCTGTGAGTGTCGGGCCGGCAAGGCAGAAGGCAAAAGGTGGCAACGTGCTAGCTTATCATGCACTTCCCACATGCCAGGTCCTTTTCTAGATGTACTGCACACATGACTGCATATCTATTTCTCACAGCCTGTGGGATGACGCGTCCCAGTGTCCAGAGAAAGCTGAGGTGAAGTCATTGGTCATCGATATACAGCTGGCACTCGGCAAAGCAACAATCCACACATGCTTCTCTATCATTCCAGAGCCTGAGATGCCTTCTCCCTACACTGAACACATACACAGAGGTCTCAGCGGATCTGTGCCCTGAGTTACGTCATTCTCAATCTCCGTCCTGGGACTCTGCTAAATTTAAGGCTTCAGGGACAGACAGCTTTAAAAGCGATGCTTGGGCTTTCTTGTTCCAGGCCCATAGGTGGCACTCTGACACCGTCTGCTAGCAGCCAGGGTGTCCATGAGAAAGGCACCAGGTAGTTCCCCAGAAACTGCCTTTCAAGCCTGTTACTGGACATGTACAGTTCTTCGAGGATGCAGGCACTGCGTTCCCATCACTCAGCCTGTGCGGATAGTGCACAAGATGGGCTGTGGGCTGCCCTGGGCTCTTGGCTTGTCCAGTACATTCAGATGGTACCTGGAAAGCTGGGATCTTGAGTGTCCCACGGAGAGCGTTGAGCCACAGCTTTGCTGATCCCAGCGAGGCACTGAAAGGGGCTTGGCTATTCAGGAACCTCTTCAGGTGAAAGGACTTTGTCTTTGGGGCCACATAGCCTTGAGTTTTAATCCTAAGCCTACCGAAGCCTGGGTTTTGTATCTGTATAATAGGCTTTCTTCGTAGGTTTGCTGGGAGAAAGGGTGAGCCAAATGCCAGGCAGAAAGCACGGCTCATACTCCATACATATTAGTATGGAGACAGTGTAGCTTGTTCTGGATTGTGCTGGGTAAGAAGAAGTGGGGGAAAGACTGTCTTGGAAGTAGCCTGGATTTCTGGTAGGATGGATGGGAGGACAGGAAGCCTCATCCTTTTGTTGGGCTTGTCAACTATGAAGGCAGGCTTGGAAACCCCGGACTACTGAGTCCTCGAGTCCTGCATCCCCTCAGTCCCTGGAATGACAGTCAGGATACTGGGTTCAAGGGACACCTTTACTAAAGGACCCTTTACCTCCCTGGGTTGCAGTCTCCCTGTGACTCACACAGAAAACGCAGAGGTAGCATTTCTTTCTCATTTCAAGACATCCTTGTCAAGATTCCATGGGTCCTCTCTGATGGGCCTTAGCCTTGGCCACTGTGCGGAATAGTGATATTGTTGGCTAATGCCACCTACGGGGTGTGTCACCTGTGTTGTAGAGTGATCCAGGCTACTCTGGGTCTCTCTGCAGCCAGGACAAAGGAAGAGCCTGGGCACGAGCGGTGGGCACAGCCTCCTGCCTTACCTTGTAGCTGTAGGGGCAGGCACAGCGGTACTGCTCCACAGGATCCTGGCTGCACGTGCCGTTGTTCTTGCACGGACTAGAGAGGCAGGCGTTGCACTTGGCCACGATGTTAATGTCCACTGGCCCTGGGTAGGGAAACCAGAGTGTGGATGGCAGCTCTCTGAGTCAGCTAACTTCACCTCCCTTCCCTCTGCTCTGGCCCCCTCCCATCTCTAGACCCAGAGGGCAGCTGGCTCCCTTGAGGCTGTACATCCAATCTGGCAAGAGTCCCATTAACTCAACCACTGTCCAGTGAGTACGAATCACAGTGGGACATCACACAGAAGCATTTCTGCAGTCAAATCAATTACTGTAATTAGCCTGATCCGATTTGGGTGCTAATCTGCAAACAGTGCACCATAATTAGAACCCTCCTGCGTGTCTTCTATTCCAGGAAGTTCTGGGCACAGGCTCTGTTTTGACCTTCTCCTTCTTTTTGGCCCCTGCCAAGCCCTTTCCAACAGAATAGCCAAGGAGGGCTGCCAAGGCCAAAGGCACACACCGAGAGTCCTTCCTGCAGGACCTTAGTGGTAATGATGCCACACGGAAAGATGCTGACAGGAACGCTTTGCCTTTTTCACCCATGGAAGTTGCAAACACCTCCTGTGGTTTTGTTTGTTTTGTTTTTGGTAAGGACTGAAAGGAGGCCATGTTCCCCACATGCAAAAAGGGGCTATGACCATTGCTGCAAACAGCTTTGAGCATGAGCCATGATATATAGGTCCTATTTAATGTCAGAATTTTAACTGATCTGGAGCAAACAGCTCTCAACCTGGAGACGGGCTGAGATTCATTCTGGTGGGTGACCATTTGTGGGTAGATGAACAGAAGGGTTCCAGGGAGCTCCAGGACCTGTAGGTCCAACTTGGGGCTTACATGAGAATGAGAGGAACCATCTGACCATGCTTGCCTCTGACTGAGGGGGTTCCCGGGGCACAGAGATTTCTCTTGACATACAAGGACAAGGCAGAACCAGCCTACATCCCATGCCTAGGCTGTAACTCACATCTGTTTAATCAACACCACGACTGTGGAACCCAGAAGGTTATTTGGCAAGCAGTGGGGCTCTAACCCGACCTTACACATGCTAGGCAGTGCAACCCACAGACACCCCTGCCCTTGGTTTTCAAAGCTCCTCAGGTGACTCCTGTCCAGATTGAGTGCCACTGTTCCAGGGCTATTTGAGTCCCTCTAGCCTCGGATCAGATGTCTTAGAAACAGGAAGTAGAAAGTTAAAATCGCCTTTAAATCAATGGAATGTTTTTCTGTTTTCAGCAGCCACACGGGACACAGCAACGTTTTAAAGGGAAAATAAAAAACTGAGCACTGAGATGCTAGGAGGTGAGCAGAGGGCACCACCAGACAAATGTTCAATGCAAATGGGAAATAAATTTGGAAATTGAATTCAGGATGCCCCAAATTTAAAGGTGGATAGAATAAAGGAGATGCCCTGACTACAAAGTAAGACAAAAGAACCAATTCTCTAAGAAAAAGACACTCGGAGGCTGCTAATGAGAGCCCAAGTTGATTACCGCCTTTTTGGGAAATCAACTCTGCAAATCATTCGAGGATCACATATTTTAAGTCAGTCATTTTGAGTCTCTGAATCTTATCTTAGGCTATAATATCAAACAGAGAAATACTTCATGCGGTCACCATACGGGAGAGATCAAACACGGAGGACTTTAAACCAAGAAAGAGCTGAGTAGGTTGTGGTAGAAAACAGCAGCCCTGCGGTGGTCAGAAGTTAGAAAAACCTGGGGGCCTCACGGCGTGCTCTTGTGAATTTATTTGGGATACTGATGTGGCTCAGTAGGAGATGTTTGTCAAGATGAGCAAGGCTCTGGGTTTGACCCTCAACACCGCCAAGTGGGAAAGACTCATCCAACCTCTTTAAGGCTTAGTTGTTCCAAATATTAAACATGAGAGTACTATAAATATCTACCCATAGAAATGTTGGGGAATTAATTAAGCTGACACATAATAAGTAAGAGTTAAATAAAATGATACATAAAAACATGTTTAACTTAGACTCTGCCATGTAAGAATTCAGGAGTGAGCCAGGCGGTGGTGGTGCACGCCTTTAATCCCAGCACTCGGGAGGCAGAGGCAGGCGGATCTCTGTGAGTTCGAGGCCAGCCTGGT